GAAAGCCTATCAGACAGTCGTTATCATGAAGTGCTAGACTAGAAGACGAGCCTTTCGATTGAGGGGTCGCCGGAGGTGTCGAGAGAGTCGCCAATAATGACTGATCCAATTGTGGATAATTTGTTTCATCGCTGATTTCAATGTCGTTTAGGCATCGATTCGAGTGAATTATGTCAACATTTGATTGAATTGATAACGAATTTATGGTATATTTAGATGAAAATGACGATGAATTCAATCTAAGAGCTGCTCCCAAATACTCGAGTTCTCGGTATTGATTGTACAAACTTTTCTAAAACAGATTTAAATTACAAAAAAAATAAATCCAAATTAAAAGTCAGATAAATGACAAAATGTTTTCAATAAGGCATACCTTCAGTGAAATTATTTTGTGTGAAATATTCTGCGGATTTTCAAACAGATATTTGTACTCAATTTGCGTCCGCTTTTGAAGCGAAGACAATTGAATGACTTGGGTTTGGATTCTTATGGTTAACAATTGAAGCTTCCGTTTCAACTGACGGACCCAATCGGAGCGCATCTCGCGATACAAATTCGCTTCTCTTCCGTCCATTGGAACCGACGCTCGATAGGAAGGGATCGTCTGTTATATTGTCATCAAATGATTGATCTTCTATTAAACCGAAATCACCTAAAAATACCAATTTTATAAATACAAACATTAGTAACGATACAATTCACACAATTTATAAAATATTTAACAATATTTTGCAATAATTTAAATTTAATTATCAATCGATATATCATATCATTTATAGGAATTTAAAAATTGTAAAATGTGTAAAAATATTTAAATGTGTTGTAATGGAAATAATCCAGGAAATAGTTTAAGAGTTAGATCTGTGTCTCAATACTTATTAGTTTCTAAGAAAACACAATAAAAACCAAAGTTTGTGAAAACAAACACAAAAACACGGCTTTATATAGAAAACCGATTCCAGTGTTTGAATCACATCACGTTAACACAAATGTGATCTTTTAATTGATTTGACAATTCAATATATCGTATATTTTTAATGCACTAATCAAATCATAATAAGCTAAAAATAATCAGAAATATTATTATTAATAATAATTAAAATATCTAAAAATATGAATAATTATATAATAAATTCTGGTAATTAGATAAGAATATAAACTGATATCTAGTGTGTGATGCGATGACAACGAGATAATACGGTATATAAAACTGTATTCATTGAGTATTGTATGAGTAAATTGAAACCATAAGTGGTCACCTGTCGGTGCATGTGATCTGATCTCTCATTTATAAGAAAAAACAAATTACAAAATTTAAAACACAATTCGTTTTTAACTATTTTATTACACATTAAAATTCAATTGAATTGCAAAAAAAGTTTTAAAATGTATTTTTAAATGTCACATCAAATTAAATTTTCTAACTTGTATGTTATATTTATAATATAAATAGTCACAAAAATGATGCATTTTGAGTAAATTTTTCAATGTTGTGTATAATAATGTTTATAACAACTATTTTATTATTTCAAAGTCAATTAAATTCTGGATATTATCAATTTTTGACCAAATTATAATTTTTCTTTAGTCTATATATTAAATGACTCATTCATTTGTGACTCTACTTATAAACATTTGGTTAAAATTTATTTATTAATATTGTTTCATTAATTATAAATTATAATTTATAATGCTATTTTCGGCATCAAAACAAAATTGTAATCAAGTTAATTATGTAAATAACTTCACTATTACACGCACCTCAAAATTGGCATTGCTCATTTTTTGTAACTAGTTATACAAACAAATAACAGCATTATAATAGAAAATAATACACAACTTGCTGTACAAAATGCTAATCATCATCATATGTGTAATTTAATTTTATAACATAATTCACATTAATAAATATTAATAAAAACCTAAACTTGTAATAATAATTCATATAAAAATACTGTATAGTGTACTTTATATGCAAATTATGGTAATTACCGGTATAATGAAAGTGCGTCAAACATAATACTGTATCGCTATTATAACATCGTAACTAGTGCTTAATATTTATTTAGAAAAGTTAGAAAAATTGATCATGATCATGAAAATCGTATGAAAATAGCAATTGAATTCATTTTAATAATATTTTCGTTATATTATTATATTGTGTTAATTCCAATACTACTACTGTTATAAAATGCATGGCTGTTAGAAAGGGATCACTAGTTAAGCACATTATTCTCTATGATTTGGAGGATGCAATCAAATCCAATAATAGTTGTCATATGAATTTGTTTTTGGTTTAATGCCTCGATTATTCCTAGTGATAATCCTCCATAGAGTATATCCTAGCTATATGTTAATACTACCGTAATAATTAATTATTATATAACAAACAAAAATAAATGACCAAAATTGACTATTAATGATTATTAACGATATTAATAAAAGTAGTGCAGAGAAGTGAGTTTTAATCGTCAATATAATGAGTAGTGAAGTGAAGTGAATTACGGTTTAAACGAAATGATGAGTACTTACATTGGGATTCATTGCTGGGAAATGAGAAACTCAACAATGAATTTGTCGAATGATTAGAGAGCTCTTCATAATTGAGTCCATTTAGTGTCAGGCGTTCAGTCTGTGAGCCAATGGGCGAGTCTTCGCACTGGTTGTCAGTATTGGGTGAATAAAAGCTGGTATCCAGTGTGGGACTAATGGTTACAGAACTTTCTCCGGCATAGGAACCGTTGGGCGGTTTGGCACCGGAATTGATAAAATTGATTGAATTGTTAACACTAGTGGTCTGAATGGTAGCCATTTGTGGGCTATATATTGATAAGACAGGTCTTTGTTGGCTATCGAACGTGAGGACAGTAGCGCCCAAAAGGTGTGTCAAATCGTTGGTCGGCTTATTTGAGGTAATGTTGACATTCCCGACCGAACTGGGAATGCTATTAGCACTTGAATAACTCACTTTTGAATTGTTATCACAAACACTTGTATTTACAATATTAGTCCCCACGTATGCCGAGAGGGAGACGGGAGTCGGGGCTATGAAATTCACTACATTATTGGAGAAACTGTTGCTTCTATTGAAGGTCAGGCCATTGTTGTTATCAAATCCATTGCCATTATTAGCCGTTTGTTGCGTTAGTATTTGTGTTGAATTTATTGAAGCGATGGGTAGTGTTTGGAACTGAACAACAGGTGATGTTTGTATTGTTTGAAAGGATTGCACGTTAGCACCGGTATTGATGTTTGCCATCAAACCATTAAATTGAGTAATATTTGTGTTGAAAGGAGTCGGTAATTGTGGCGAAAGTACGGTATTCACGGACGCAGTTATAGGTGCTGTGGTTAGTCGAGTGGCGGTCGATGTGGTCGAGAGGAAAGTGGTCCCACAATCGGTGGTCATTTCAGTTAATTGAACCGACTGTTGCTGTGGAAGCGGCGGTCGTGTGTCCATTGACTCCATTTCCTGTACAGTCGCTGCGTTTGACTCTGCTTTCTGAGGTTCTGCGCCCAAAACGGAGGCTGTAGTGCGCGGACCGACCACTATCTGCAACGACTCGTAGAGAGCCGTCGGAGAGACGTTATAAATATGAGGTGTGAATCGTTTGACAAATTTGTCCCTTTCTTTGTCCCCTTCATTCTCTCTGCAAACAGATAATCACCAAATCGTTAGTAAGAGTATTGGAGTTGACGTCAAACATGAGTTTACTTACACGAGAAGACGACTCACACAAATCCAGTGATCTATTTGTCCGTTTTTGTCGTATTGAAGACAACCCGATGACTGCAGAAACGCGAACGAACCGCTCGCTGTCCGCAATCGATGGACAATAGTTCCCGTGCCGTTGCTATTGGACAACACTATAATAGACAATATAAGGGTTTGAAAATAAGTAAATTAATTGTTGTTGAAATAAAATACTCACTTAATTTATGAGCAAAAAGTGCTATCGAGTGGTCGTCCGGTAATATATAATCATAGGCTGACTTTCCCATCACTTCTGATGGCAAATAACCAATAATTCCAGAGATCCTAAACATATAAATCATTAGTACAAATATTTAATCGCCGCTTTTAGTTGTCGTTTGCAAACCTGTGATCAGCAAAGAGTAGAGTGCCGTCGAGTGAATGTCTGGAAACATATTCATCCAAATCGGCGTCCATTATAGACAACTCTGCCATTGGATTCGTTGGAATGATTTGAATGAATCCCTTGATTTTTATTATTATTACAAAATATATCTGTAGTCTGAATAAAATTTAATCAGTTTTTCGAAAGGAAAGCCATGTTTTCTAATGAGAAGTTATTTGTTATTCTAATTAATTGTAGATAAATATTGATAAATAATATTACATGTAATGAAATGCAAATATTCTATTGCTATACACACTGAACAACTTTGAAGATCACTTTCATCGTTATAAGACTGAAATGGCATGACTTGTGATCTCTTTTGTGAATGCATTTATTTGAATGTAATGTCATTTGCAGAGAATGTGGACACGAGTGGAAACGAATAATAAAACCATTTTCTTATAATTATTAGTATTTATAGTTTAAATTTGAGGCTACATTTAAATTGGGATTATTGTCGTTAACGAGCGTTAATTGTGATCTTGTTATTCAATGGGCTGTTCAGTCGATGTATAGGTCTATACAGAGACCCCTCTCTGTGTTTTGGATGTATTAAATATATTTACAAATAAAAATTGATTCATAAGATATTCTCTCTCTTTTTAAATAGCAATAAATTATATGCATTTCCATTCAATTAGTGTCTGTATAACTAATCTCTAGTCTTCTGATTGTGATCTTTTCATTGCAAACGATTTGTCATTTATAGATCCAAATAGTACTGAATCTAAGAGTTAATGATTGCAAAAGCTTATAACTAACGATCACATTGTCCTTACATTAAGATTTAATTATCTGCTTTGAATCACAGCCTAATATCCCACGCGTACATCACTTTTCAAATTTCCAATTCAATTCCTTTGCATCCGATATTTGAGTTATATTTTGAAATATGATAGAAATCTATTACATAATAAGCTAACAATCGATAATTGAATTTTTCAATAATATTATGTTTCGGAATTAGATTTCCATCTAACATTTTGCACACTATTTCTGTTTAAACTACTGTCTTAAATGTCATGAAATATCATGTTTTAGTAATTGATTAAACAGTCAAATGGATATGTTTTTAAATTATTTTTTATTAATATTATTGGTTGTAGTATTAAATTTGCAAGATTATCTAGTTTATTTATTGCTACAATAATTATTTATTTATTTGCCGCATAAATACATATAGATCGATATGATTGGTCATTCCCTGACATCATTCCTGCACCCAAATGACATAGAGTTAGTGCAAACACAAATCCAATGGGCTCACCAACAAGTCTCTATTTATAGATCCAAATAGTACTGAATCTAAGAGTTAATGATTGCAAAAGCTTATAACTAACGATCACATTGTCCTTACATTAAGATTTAATTATCTGCTTTGAATCACAGCCTAATATCCCACGCGTTCATCACTTTTCATCACTTTTCAAATTTCCAATTCAATTCCTTTGCATCCGATATTTGAGTCTTATTTTGAAATATGATAGAAATCTATTACATAATAAGCTAACAATCGATAATTGAATTTTTCAATAATATTATGTTTCGGAATTAGATTTCAATCAAACATTTTGCTCACTATTTCTGTTTAAACTACTGTCTTAAATGTCATGAAATATCATCTTTTAGTAATTAATTAAACCGTCAAATGGATATGTTTTTAAATTATTTTTTATTAATATTATTGGTTAAATGGTTGTAATATTAAATTTGCAAGATTATTTATTGCTACAATATTTATTTATTTGCCGCATAAATACATATAGATCGATATGATTGGTCATTCCCTGACATCATTCCTGCACCCAAATGACATAGAGTTAGTGCAAACACAAATCCAATGGGCTCACCAACAAGTCTCCAAAGGTGTGTCCATTTATGCAACTCTTGTTTCAAATTAACGTCAAATGAATTAACTTTTTATTATATTTTTTCATTTGATTCGATAGGATCTCAAACTTCAGACAAGATTTCATTTCAATGTCGTCTCCGGGAGAAGAATCAGCCGCGAAGTGAAGTGATTACTTACCAAATGGTTCAGGTGTCCGGACATATTACCAACTCTGACAGCTCTGATGATCCCAAAGAGTGCACTGATATAGAGGGCGACGATAAGCTTGAGAACAAGATTCTCTTCAAGGGATTCATTCAAATCATTCCAACGAATCCAATGGCAGAGTTGTCTATAATGGACGCCGATTTGGATGAATATGTTTCCAGACATTCACTCGACGGCACTCTACTCTTTGCTGATCACAGGTTCGCAA